TTAAGTAAATGGTGTTACAGTCCCTGAAATGTAAATGAAAATCCCTTGAAAAATTCAGTGTTCAAAATGGGATAGAAGAGGGATGCTCTCAAAACTTCTGCCCTTAAAATTAGCATCACACATGCAGCTAGCAATTTTACCATGGAACTGGAGCTATAGACTGCAAATTCATTTTTTCAGATCAGCAAAATAAACCAAAATTAATTTACACAAATTATTTCTACCAACTTGTAATCAGCTTCCGACTCTCCCTAACAGAGGCCAGCTGGAAGTACAATAATAAATATCTAAATCATACATTCACACTCCTGCACTTGAAGGAACACAATCCCAAACTGCAAAAATATAGATGAAATAGTAAGATTATCTCATGAATACAACCAAATTGCCCATATAAGGGCCACAATCCACACCACATCATCTGTATGGCCAGTCATGGAAAACATCTTGCCTCTAAAATATGCACTGCCTAGTCAACAAGCCTTCCCAGTATGCTATTTTCCATCATTGATAATATCTTTAGGGATGAAATTGAGGGAGTTGCAAGTACAGATCAGCTGGGAAGTGCAAACTGATGTCAGTGCAGCTGCTGTTTATCTACCCAAGGATAAACCCTGGAGTTTGCAAACCTCTCCATGAAGGGGCAAAGTTCCAGCGTTCCTTTCAGTTGCACTCAAACAACCACAGTAACTTCATGGGGCATGGGTGGCATGGGGTGATATTCAGAGAACAGTTTGATTCCCAAAATCCCCCAAACCACCTGCAAGCTGATTCTTACCCAAGTTCTGCCCTGAGAATCTCATCTTGGGCACTTCCACTGACATTTTATGCATACTGTCTCCTCAGGTTTTGCTTTTCACATAACTACCAACACAGCAATGTTATTTACTGATTGCTTTTCCATGATTAATCAGGAAAATGTAATAGTAATGGGATGATACAGTCCAAGACCGTTGCTGCAAGCTATGTGATGAATGAAGAAAGTCCATAGCCATTCATTGGGAAAATGGCTTTATTTCTTCTGTTCTGTTTCAACAGGCCTGGTAGGCTCGGTTGGCAACTCTAGCAACTACAATTTCTGTGCAGCGATGTAGAAGAGTAATTTTTGAAATATCATGGTATTAATGAAAATACCAAATAGCTTCAGGGCTGTGACAGCTCATAAGATCAGCAAAGTTAACCATCTAGCAATAGTTAGTGTCTATGCCTAGAAGATACTACATCATCCAGTTAATTTCAAGGGACAAAAATATTTCAAGGTTTGCCATCCACATAAAGTTTCTGCACCTGGTGATGTTGCTTCACCACAAAGTTGAGGCCCAATTTTCAACAGCAAAAACTGAATACTGTTGGTAATTCCCAGGCAAGAGGTTTGCAGGCTGATGCTAATACGGCACAACCTGGTTTATAATGACTTAAGTGCAAAGAGCATTTCACCATGTCCAGTCTGTGGACTCTCTCTCACACATCTGAAATCAGAGTTGTCACTGTTAGCCAAGTACCTTTTGATTTCAAAGAAAAATGAAGTCTCATATGTGTATGAAACATGTCTTCGCATCACAGACCGTAAAATTTCAAGGTGGAAATATTCAGGATATAGGAGAGGTAGAGAAGCCCACTAGCCAGCAGGAACCAAGGGAAATACCTTTTGATTTCAAAGAAAAATGAAGTCTCATATGTGTATGAAACATGTCTTCGCATCACAGACCGTAAAATTTCAAGGTGGAAATATTCAGGATATAGGAGAGGTAGAGAAGCCCACTAGCCAGCAGGAACCAAGGGTACATGGCAGGGAAAGGAAAAGCCAGGAGAGCTGGGATAGGATGTCAGACAAACAAGTGCTGAAGAAGCACCAATGGGCTGGCTGATGAGGAAAATGGGTAGCTAAGACAATGAGCAGTTGGACTGGGACATATCAGCCAATCCCAGTTGGAAGATGAAAAATAATTTTCTACTGTTATATCAATTACTGGTACAGATCAGCACTTGTGTTGAAACCTGGGACAGAAATACAGTCCTTCTGAGTGATGACTGCAACACAGTTCCTCAAGTTGATGGGTCTTTGGTCTTCATCGGTTTGCGTTTTCCACCTTGAAAGCTGTCTCTCAAGAGGAGGAAAGTGCTATAACTTCTAGCCTAAGACTGACACTTCAGAAGCCATCACCTTTTGGAATTTAGCTATTCAGTAGCAAAAGTACCAATTTACTGATAAAGTGATGGAATTTCAAACTAAATTGATTACAATCAGCTTTTTAACTTTCTTTTAATACTTCTAATACTTTGCAATGAAGCATCATACACTGTATTCAGAAATGGTCATCTGTAGACAAGTCAAGATTTGGCTTAAGTAGATAACAAAAAAGAAACTCCACTTGCTACCCACAGCAGACATACTGCTTCAACTTGTGCGAAAACTGCAATATGATCTGCGTACAGTTTCACCTAGCTCAAAATCTCACCTTCTTCCACAGACCAATATATGCTAAATACATAAGAATCCTTTCCAGCATGACTGTCAGTTATTGCTGTGTTTAATGCTAGTGGACAATGGAACTTAGACAAGATAGGAAATAAACATAAATGTTAATTATCTTGCTGGAGATCAGAAACCAGATGACATCCGGAGCTGGCATTATTGTAAACAGGAAAAAGGTATGAGAGCTACTTAGCTTAGAGGTTTATAAATACCAGATATACACACCAGGAGATATACAGGTTAAGAAAGGACAAGTGCAGTTCTGTACTAATAAGTGAGTGAGACAGATGGAAAGAGAGTGTATGTGAAATTATTTATGGGAACATCATTTTTGTCTGAGACAATTTTAATTACATTCTTTATTGGACAGATGCTCTATGTGCTAGGAGAAATCTGCCTTGGTTTATACACTGACACAGTTTACCTGATTCTCTTTGCTAAAGCAATAGTACCACAAAGACTGGGACCACCATGGCCATGTGGCAGAATGCAGAGCATCAGCCCCACAACCCTCCTCAGAGCACCACAGCAAAGTCTTGAGCTGCATCCTGCAAGCATTTATGCACAAATTGAACTTTGTGTACTGTGATTAATTTCCCTAACACCATGTGGGTTTAATTGCAGCACAGAAAACCAAATACAGACTTACATATTTTTAGGATCAGGACCTACTTAGCACTAGTCAGCGGTGATTTAATGTGTCTGTACTTAATGTGCAGCTTACTAAATGTGAGAGAATTCTGTGTTTTGGTACAGTTTGGGTTTTTCCCCAGAACAGCATGTATGTTGTTTCAACATTAATGCTGAAAGTTAAATACTCTGTAGTCATTGATGTTTATTTAAACCATTATAATGTTGTCTAATGCAGCTAGGAACGGAGGTACAGTAGCCTCATATTTAAAAGCATGGCCTTTTATATAACATTAGAGAGCTTTAGTGGGCATGTTGCCCATTTCTGATTCCCTAGCGGTTTCTCTCCTTCACAGGAATTAATGTTCTAATCAGAATGCATCTGTATAACGTTTTCCTTGTGCTCATCAAGTACTAGCAATTCAGTGATTACCTTATGCATCCCACTGCATATACTAGGCCAGATTGTTCAAATATTCTCTGGTATAAGAGCTAATTGGGCATCTCTAATCACAAAATGGTGCCACCCAAAAATCTATGGTAAGAGTGAACACCAGAGATATATAATAAAAAGGCAGAAAAAGACCTGACGTTGCATTGCTGGATTGTCTTCTGTGGGGTGTGTTTAGTGCAACCATCTACACGTAGATGAGCATTAATATTTGCAAGATATGTAGGTAGCCTGGTATCAGTCTTTGCAACCTAACAAGTCATGCAGATGCATGCATGCTCTCGTGCACAGGTCAAGAAAGATTCCTATTACAGGATTTAAGCTTTGCAAAGTCAGAGGCAAAGATTTCTGACGTCAGCAGTAAGCCCCTAGCCTACAGTTCATGCTATGAAGTGGTATCATTCAGGGTAGGGTACAGAGAGGATGCAGCATCCCTTAGTTGCAAGCCCTCTTCTCACCAGCTACACTGGGAATCTCTGGAGCAACTTCCCAGAGAAACAGTTCAGACTTCCAGTGATACTTCATAAATGTATGTACATTCACACATGCACACACACAAAAAATAAAATAAAATAAAAAAAAGAGGCAGGAACAACCTTCTCTGAAACACTTAAAGACCTTAATGTACTGACGAAAAATAATAAGCAGTGCAGTTACCATTAATAGCAATATCCTTCAGGAATTTTTTCAGTTACCTGCTACAATGCTAATCACTGGTGCAAAAATCAACACTTCAGATGTCTAATTCTAAAGCTGTTACTAGGTTTGAAGAATAGCAGCTGAGATTAGGGATAATCTTTTTTAACTATTCATAGTTAATTATGTTTAACTCTTCATATTTTTTCATATTTCACCTGTTTCTAGCCAAACATGAAATAATTTGTATGTGACATTTATTGTCCATCATACAACCTTCTCTACTTTTAAATATTCAACATCTTTTCCAGCTGTGGAGCTTGAATTATAGAATGAAATTAAAAGAATTGAAGTTTTATCCCTTACCATTCTTATAACTTTACAAATATTCAGATTTCAAAGTTATGTTCCTTGCCAATATGATCAATTTAAAAGCAGTGAGTATGTAACAGTACTGATTTCTGTTTCTGACCCAGGATTTGCTTTCTCACAAGAACACATTCACTGCACAGGACCGGCCAAAGACCACTGAAATCAATGGAAAGGCTACCAGCGACTTGGATGGAATATGGATCAGGTTTTGAGCATAACACTGCTGACTTCAGTGACTCATCACAAGAGTGAATTTGGCTTTGACAGATGTAAAGCGGTTCATTCCATGTACCTCTAACAAGCTGCACACATTTTAACCCCACCCTTCCACTCCCAGGAATTTAGAGCACTTTGTTCTGCTAGCTGTGTTAAGAAGCCCCAGCACTCGCACAGGTAAAATGAATGACTGAAACACATACAGTTGTTTGTACTTACAGGTGTCTGGCTTGAGCTGGCTGTTGGTAATTCCAAAATATTGGGGATTTTCGATGACGGGAATCTTTGTCATCCCAATGATGACTGCATCAGGACCCCCCTCAGAAGAAGACGGAGTATTACTGCCATTTGAGATGTGGTGGAGGGGGCTGGCTGAATCGTCGTCATTGCTGATAACTGAAGAAGGACCTAGAGTTAGAAACAAAGATTTTTTTTTAACTCAGAACATAGTTCCCTTCCCCCAGAAAATTCCTTTTTTTTCTGGTTTGGGTTTTTTTTTTTTTTTTGGACCAATTTGTCCTTCATCCCTGTAGCAAATAGCTCACTTCATGGGCCTTGTTGACCTTACCTCAGGAATGTTATATCTCTGGGTACAGATGGTGAACAGTGGGTTTTTTCCATTAGGAGTTGGAATGTGGAGCAAATTTTTGTACTGGTAGATCACCTAGAATATATCAAGGTCCAGCATACTCTGTCACTGGGAAAGATCTCCAAATTTGTCCAAACTCTTTCTGTCGTTCTCAGATATAAGCTATGAAATACATACATTTTCTTTTTTACCTTATACCCTGCTTGGATCACACAGCAATAACTGGCAAAAATCTGGGGGACACCTGCCCTCCCTTTGAGGTGACATTATAACAAGACAAAAGACACAGAGGAGAGGGCTCATCCTGATGTGGGAAGGTGGTAATTTCTGAAAGACAATGCGGTTAGGAGTTGAAATCCAAGGGATAATTTCAACAGTCACAGAAGGTGTGGAGCAGAGGCTGCAAAGAGTAGTTGGTAAGACACATTCCCATACAACTGCAAAATCTGGGGTCATTGCAGAGGGGCTCATCCAGCCCAGGGGAACACCCCACCAGCATCCCCATCCATACCTGAGTCCAGTCATCTTCCAGAAAGAGGTTTATTTTGATCAGTAATCCAGTGACAGTTTTTGCTTTGTTTTCACTCTGTACTTTACATTTTTAATGAAAGCGCCACAGAGCGAAAACCTTGTATATGGGTTAAAAAAGTCCTGCTTAGCGTAGTGTCCCACTTCTGTGAGCTGCAGAGGCCTTTGATCTAACAGTGAGATCAGTGCAGGTAACATTTGCACTCTTGCCATCTAATCCTGCCATTTAAATTCCACATTACATCTTCCAGTTTACATCCAATATTCAAAGAAAACTAGAATCATCACCTAGCAGCAACAACATTTTGCCTAATCTACCAACTGGAGAGCCAGCGTAGATGAAACGTCACATTTCACTTCATTCTCCAACCACATTAAACAGTGGTTTTGGGGTAACATTCACATCTTCTAATTGCAGTAATCAAAAGACGATGCTAGAAACATGGAAAAATTCACCCTCTGAATGTGCCTATCTCTTCTCTATCTCAGCACCCTTAGATGACACCTGTGTTTAGCCCATGGGCAGCTGTGACAGGTGGGGCAAATGTCTCCCCAGAGAAGGGGGCAGCAGAGAGGACCCTGAGGATGATGAAAAGCTGTGTTTACTCCAAGTTGGCAGACACCACATTATAAAATGCTGGAGCCCCAGACTGTTCTAGGCTGGACAGAAGAAACTGTGCAGATGCAAGACAGAGCTGAGTAACCCACCACACAAATGGCATCTGTGTCTGCAGGAGAGACAGGTGATGCAAGAAGAGAGAGAAGGGGGACCAACAGCAGGTCCTGTAGAAACATCACCGAAGATGTGAGAGAACATGGGCAGGATCCACCATGGCACACAGTTAAGGAACAGGATGAGAACTAGGACAGTCAAAAAAACAGCAGTCAAGAAAGGGGAGCTTTAAAGAAAAGAAACTCTTACTCTTTTGTGCCTCACCATATCATTAACAAAAACACTTCATCACTACATGGCATGAATCACAGGAATAAAACTTAAATAATTTTGCACGTGGCTATTCAACCCTAACTTTAGAGACTCAAGTGTGCTCTCACCCCTGTCCTGCTTTACTTTCTCCCCAGTTGGTTTAATGGTGCATGAGGGAAACATTCTCATAGTTTGAAAAAGCACTTCCCCCCTAGCCTGAAACATTAGAGGTAATTTTTCAAATACCTTGCACTTCACTGGAAATTCACTGTTGACAAATGTAAATGAAGCCTAGATCTCTGCAATTTATCAAGTGAAATACTAATACCGAGGCTGCTTTTGTCATTACTGATCAACCAGATCCTCAAAAGATTGATTCTACTAGGAAAGCTGCCAGGATAAGTTTTTGGTGAAGATTTCACTAATGAAGTGCAGAGCCTAAGAAACTGTGGGAAAGCGTCCTTCAGACGGCACACAACATACTTAGGTGCAGTCACAACACCTTTTTCAGGTGCATAAGAGTTGTGTGAAGTGCAAACCCATTTAAAACCACATTCAGTTTTTTCTAGGCATCATCCTTATGTCTCTAAACTTTCTGAATGTCACGCTAATGGCTCCAAAAAGCAGGCTGACAAATACACATTTTCTTGGGAAAATAAAGTCCTTTTATACTAACATAGCTTTAGTATAAGGGTCAAATCCCTTCTCTTACAGCAAATGCGCAAATTCCCTTGGGTCTGTAATTTAATAGAGGCATGTCTCTCAGTCCTTTTCAGCCCTGCTGTTCTCTGCTACATATAAGAAGGCTTTTTTGTCATTGTTTGCTTCCACCACATATGCGGTGATGACAAAGAAAAGTGACCATTACACATTTCTAGATGTTAAAGTGGGCTAATGAATAGAAACTCATTCTGTTCATCAAATCATTTCTGCACTGCTCCAAGACCCAATTTTGTATGGTGAGCTATTTTTTCAATCAGCATAAACCGCAAAGTGCTGCAGGTGAAAAGTAGACAATTGTTCTATAAATCTATTTACTCCATTAGGCTAACTGGTAAAAATTAGTCTTCATGTGGTATGAAGCAGGCTCCAAGTATATTCAGCTCTCTGATGTAGGTGAGGAAAACCTGGAAAATAACATGGTTTCCGAAGCAATTCCTGGCAGTACAAAACAGTTTAAGAAAAATTCAACTCCGGAAACTTTGTGCTGTATCACTTAGTGATCCCTCTCACTTACTAGCCAGTAATCAGCTCATGCAATGGTCTTTGGAAGTAGTTGTTTGGGTTCAAAAATCCTATTTCCTATATATTTCTTCTCTAATTAAGACAGTGAGAACTCAACAGATGGAAAATTTTGTTTATCTGAGGCAGTTGAGCTCACATCCTTTCAAACTTCCCCTTTGCTGGGATGTTTTCATGAACGTGAACAAACTGGTACATAAACCACTTCCACACTTGCTTATTTGCCAGACTATCCACTTACTATAAAGTTACATTTCATTTTTGGAATACACTAAGCCACATTAGAATAACAGGCCAGCACTGAAGCTGGATATGACTGATATTCTAGTAATGCAAAACCATTTTCCAGGATGCAAGATGAGGCCATCATCTGTGCTGCTAAGAAGCTAGAGCTGCCCTTTTCTGAATATGCACTGAGCTCAAATTGAAGGGTAATTTCTTAAAGCGTCTTAAAGTGTGGTTTCATCCAGATGAAATGGGGTCACCAAATTACTTGTCAAAGGCAGAATGAGTATGATAATTACCCTCAGCCACCTATTACTGATTCTCTTTTTTATAAAATCTGCTGTTGGTTAGACACCTGAAATCTGAAAATTTTAGACAAAACTTCATTGGTGGGAGTAAAATCATGGGTTGTCAATAGCCATTAGCTATTGCCAAAAGCTGACTCACAGTCACATTGAGCTTTTAAGAAAACTCCAGAGGCCTTCCCCACCTTCAAATGCGCTACCCAATGTCTTCCTTTTATTTCACTTTTAGAGCATATTTCTTATCTTAAGAAGATAGAAGCTGGAGTCAGATGAGAAATGGTAGCCTGCGTGGAGAATAAACATGAGAGCTATAACACTTGCAGGGCTGAATTTGTCTTTGAAGCTGAGCTAAAAACTTGTCCATTCTGCATCACCTAGGCCCAAGAAAAATCCCTTCTGTGTACAGCTCTCCAAAAAAAGTAATGACATGTAAGAAAACCAATGGCATTTGAAACTCACAAGCTATAATAAAGCCAAATACCTCCCACATCCCTAGGTTGTGAATGATCTTTGACACACAGTATGGGGAGAGGAGGAAACAGCAAACTTCTTGTACTGCACTTCCCACAAAAAAAACCTGGAGACAATCAAACACTGATAGAGTGGTGTGATGGTTTACTTTCACTAGTGCCAGCACCCCTCCCTGAAATACTTGTGGATTACACTTCTGTGCTCCCTCTTGAATAGTGTATCTCTGCACTGTCCTTGAGCTCGGTGGTGCAAACAAATGTGAGTTTCCTTATGTTTAGGAAAAAGAAAAAAAAATAAATTCAAGGTATGCTGCTATTTCTGGCCAGAAAAAGGAGTTTCATGCTTATAAAATACAGCCTTTCCTGCTGCTTCTATCATCATCAGAGTTTATGCAGTTTTAACATGTACGCTACCAAGACCTATCTACACTACTATTTGTTGAGCCTACATTTTGCTTTGTGTTATTTCAGACTTTTAGGTAGTTGGCTGTGGCAACATATCTGACTACTGGCTTCCACTGGAATAATCCACATGACCTTCCTGTGTATTCAAGTACAGAAAGAGTCTCAAAGCGAATAATAACATGACTCAGCTAAGCAGGCTGAATGCAGAATCAGAAAGAACATATGGGTTTTGTTTGCACCTGGCATGGCCTCGCAAACACTATACTCAAACTTTAGCTTAAGTGGTCACAAACAAGCACTGTATCCATCTACATCTCTCTCCACCTACTCTGTCAAAGACACAAGCAATTTACTCTTGCATGTTTTCTCTCCAAGCTCTAACAAGACCCCTTGGAGGCTACAATATCCTGTATGCTCCTTGCAACACACTTCTGTGCATCACATATTATTCCTATTACCCCTGAAGTCACTACTAATGGCTCAGGCACACTGGGAAACAGTAAGAGTAATAATTATCAAAAAAAGCAGTCAATTTTAGCTTTGTGGTTGGAGATGTGTAGTTACAAGGATTTATCTATTTAGTCAAGTGTTGTGCGGTGACCCAGGTAAAGAGGATCATTTTATAGAGATGATTTTGTGCTATGATGCCTTAATAACCATGGCTCTTTCCATGAAAAATGATGTTAACTGCTCTGAAGATTTCTCAACTGACCTTGCAC